CATTCCACTCACACAGCTTCTTCCCCAGAACTGTTACTTTGTGAAAGACTACTAAAAAGAGTGCTTCCTCAATCACTATGATCTAAACAACTTCAAGAGTCAACCATTATGCACCACTTAATTTTTCCATTGACACCCTTAGAACAACCTCATGTAGTAACCCTCTACCTTGAGTGGCTCTTGGGTCTTGCATTGGGTGAACAATAGTATAAAGAAACAATAAAAAAATAACATGGATTACAAAAGTGTTATTTCAAAATACTACCAGATTTGTGTTGAATTATTTCCAACATCCAGCCAACAATCTGTTAGCCACATTTAAGTAGACAGTCTCTACCCACCCAACTTTTTCTTTCTTTTTTTTTTTTTTTTTTTTTTTTTTTGCTATATTACTTCTGTTTATTATAGAACACCAATTCAATGTCAACATTTTTCTAAATTTATCAACAGCTAAATTAATTGATTTGTTTATTAGTCTGTTTTAATATTCTCAAATTTAGATTAGGGGTAAAATATTTTTTAAAAAATGCGTATTTATAATATGAGACAAAGTAAAACTTAATTTCTATCCTCAGGAAGGCCTCTTATTTGACCTGATTATTTTCACCTACTGCACAAGAAAATTTTCTTCCCTGCATCCTGAGATGCTGGAGACTTCTTCAATATATGTATAGCAGATGAACATTCTTTTACTCCCCTCACCTTGTAGGGTGGATGTATGCATGCATCAAGAGAAGAGGAGATAGAAATGTGGTAAACCTACACAGTATTATATATACACATATACATACACACACATTACTACTACTACTACTTTAAACATTATTTTTATTGAATGCCCATATCCGAGTTGATGCTCCATTTATGCTTTTAAACTGTATTTTATTTTGTCTAACAGCCTGAAGATTCAAAAAATCTTATTAAAGAAAAAATACAGTAAGATCCTATTGTCCAGTTAAGATTCCTCCCTGATCTCCAACTGAACTCGGAAATGTTATTCACTAATTAAATCTTAACCTCTTCAAGTCTAGAATTAGCCGTTATCTTTCCTGTATAGCCCCTCAAGAACTCCACTTCTTGCTCTTTCTTATGCTCATACAATATCACAGAGTAACCCACTACCTCGAGTGGCTCTTTGGCCTTGTATTGAGTAACATTAATAAAAAAAAAATAAAAAAAAAAATAAAAAAACAGTACAAAAAGAAGAAATGCCTCTAAGTATAAAAGCATTTGTCTGGTATTTTCTGATAGAATGCAAATATTAGAGATAAACATTTTTGCGGTGTCACAAACAAGTTATATTCATTAAAGTAAACTAAAAAACTATTTCAAACACAAGATTTACTTAATGAATGACTTGTGTACAACTTAAAAAAAATAAAATCGATGATAATATGTTTGGCTCAAGTGCTGGGGATAATGTTCAAATTTCTATTCAAGTGACTTTGAATCAAATATAGAAACAAAAGCACAGAGAGGAGAAAGAAAAAGAGTTTTAATCTAAGGACATACTTTTTTTTCAAAATAAACTGTTATCCATTACACCACCTACACTTCCTGGTATTCCCAAATGGTCACCCATCTAGGTATTGACCAGGCTTGACATTGCTTAACTTTGGTGATTGTATGAGAACTGGTGTTTCAATGTGATATGGCTGTAAGTCCCAAAGCCTTTCTTAAATCTCCTTGTGTGTAAATATTTCCAGTTCTAGTGCTGGGATATTACACCCTCTTTGAAGTTGCCCTAAGCCAGAACAGATAAAACAAACATGAAAAATGTCAAAAGCAAAGATTTCCAGAAGGGATCACCTTCAGACCTTCACCATACGATTAGGAGAATGGATCAGCAGTCCTGGACTGATGTGACAGTGATGATCATGCAATCACTCCAGCTTTGGACTGATGTGTTACATGCAACCAGAGGAAAAAATAAACACAGCCAATCAAAGATGAGCTCTTTGGAGAGAACAATTTCATGTCAGTGTGAAGTCTGCTTTATACAAAGATAGCAAAACATGATTAACTGTAATATCACAACTAATATTTTAATATATAAAAAGTAATTACATTTTTTAATTTTATAAAACTTAGATGGAATTATTTTATGCTTTCCAATTAAACTTTTCTTTATATATAAAAATTCAACCATAACAAGGCTATCAAAATAAAGGGTTATTGTTAAAATGATTTTAAGCATCAATATTGAAATATTCAGGGAAACAAACACATGGCACTCTGTTCCACAAAGTGATAACTGTAGAACTTTCTTCTTATATTTGGACCAGAGAGAAAATGAAGATTATTTGACTCCATGATAAGGCAAATCCATGCTGTAAAGGCTTGAACTGGTGAAACAAGAGAATGGAGCTCATCTGAACATTTGCTGCAGAAATATTGATAGGGTAACTGCAGAATGAGGGGGAGGTCATTCAAATTAAAATAAAAAAGATAAAATTTATGTCACTTTGTTAACAATTTTTGATCAACCTTTCATCAACTTCAATATGAAATAAAAAGGAAATGCCAATGCTTTTTAATTAAAATAATCAAACAAAATCACTTTCTTTTTCTTAAATTTTATAAATTTGCACTTTGAAGAAAAAATTTTCAAAGCAGAGACCTTATTTGTTATCTCTTAATAAAATGAAGCTTCTGTTCATTAAACAGCAATTTTCAATACATGCCATAAATGTTTGACTGGATTAAGGTTAGGTGATTGAAAAGGCAAAATTCCATTATTCCAACTTTATTGTTCTTAAACCAGACTGTAGTGGGTTTTGAAGTATATTCAAAGATATTGTCTTGTTGAGAGATGAATCACCAATAAGAACTCAGTTGGATAGCAGCTAAAAGGATTTTTTTTAATGGACTCATATTTTAACAGATCCACCCCTTCAGTCCTCATGTGTTTCCCAGTATGCAGACTTTATCCATCATTCATAAAAGTGCTTGGATTGTCCAAAGAAGTTCTCAACCCGAGAGACAAGTCCTTCCCACTCCATGTGGAATATAGAGTCACAACCTCAACAGTGCTGCTGCTGTGGTTTCTGTAACAAGCAGTTCTTTTACAAGGTAAAATTTGGAGCCCATGCCTAAATTTTAAATTCAGAGTTAACCTCTTCCTAGACTGGTTGCCAGCCAAGGCTAAAGAACTCAGTCTGCCTTGCTACTTAACCTACAGCTGGGAGAAGAAATGAATTCATACCTTTCCTTAAATTATTTCTGAGAAAGTGAATACAATGGCCCAGGGTAGAATTTGTACACAGCATGATGATCACACTTTACATTCTGATAACCACAATGCTACAACCATATCTCAGCATGAAGGGTATGTAAAAATCACAAGGGAAGTTTCAGTCAACCCAAAATCAAGTGTAAAGGATATCCAACAGATGACCACATTCTAAACAGGAAACAAGGGATAAACATTCAAAAGTCCAGGGTTAGGGTTGTATATTTTGAAAAATCCCCTTAGAATGGTTTACGAAGAATAAGGTAAGTTTTATCAATTGACTAATTGAAATCAAATCTAACATTCGCAGATTGAAATGAAAAGTACTCTTCATAAATGGAAGTCATCAGACTTAAATGCTCTGGAATTATTCTACAGAGAAGAATGGATGAAAATACCAGTTCAGAAATGCAAAAGTCTTAATGAAGGTTATAAAAAAAATGTCTATTAGCCCCAAATTGGGATCAAAGAGCCTCAGCTAACTTTCAAGTGAAAGAATCAAATACTTATATAAATGTCATTTCTAATACAGTATTGATAATTAGGGAAATAAAGTAATAATCTTAATTCTCTCATTTATTAACAATTCATATATTAAACTGTTTTACTAATGCAAATTGTGCAGATAAATATCATCCAATGAGGAATTAAACTCACAACTGCCAGGGAACCAGATATGTTTTAACCAGCACTTTAATCCACTAGGCCATGCATCTAGAATTCAAATTGATTCATATCTTGTGGTTTGGTCAAAGAAACAGACAATATGACAGCAAACAGATTGGAAAGAAACAGATTCAAGCAATTCCCTAAGCATGGAAAGCAGAATGGGAACACTAACCTCACAAATTGAATAAAGTGTTTGGTTCAAAATTCTGTGAAGGTTATCATGTACAACAGACAACTGAATGAGGTTGAATGGTACAATGGCTGAAACACTGCAGCATGAGTATCACAAGCAAGAAAAGCATCTTCGTCCAAATATCAAGCCTTTTCTCTAGTTGTAATTCAATTAAAAAGACACATTTAAGAATTTGATCCCAGCCCAAAGATCTTTTTGTGATCTTGACTATTGAATAATTTTAAACTCTAACATAACTTTTTTTCTTATATAAAAAGAATAAAATGTAATGACTTTACAGATATCCTGAGTATGTATAATATAGAGAAAGGAGCAAAAGTTACTTCACTATAATATTACCAGTTACATTTCAATTTGCAAAGTCACTTGATCTTGAATTCTTCAAAATTCATTTGTCATGTTATGAGTTCATTTTCCAGATGATAGACAAATTATGGCAGCCGCCACATTTTGATTAGTTTCAAAACAAAGAACTTTTGTTGTTACTAAAAACTGGCAAAGGAGAGAGAGAACTCCAAATTTCCCAAAACTATTTGCATCAGTCTGGATATAAACTTCATATCAATGAACTGTGAAATTAAACTATGAAAATATTACTGTAAAGTTATAAGGAATTAATGGATTTATTTTTAAACCAATTTTTATTTTACTTCAAATGTTATTATAGTGGACACTCATTTGAAATTGGGTTTATGGCCACATCATGTTGAAACACCAGTTCTTGTACAATTACTGAAGTTAAGCAACAATCAATACCTAGATGGATGATCATTTGGGAATACCAGCTACTGTAGGCTTGAATGTGCAGGTGGTGTAATGGATAATGGCTCAGAATTGTTAATCAGAGATCTGAGTTCCAATTTCCATCAAGTTCGTTATATTCACTTACACACAAATAACCTTGGGAAAGATATGAACCCACATCTTCTCCCCTCAGCTATGGATTAATTAGTAAGACTTGTATCACTAAATCATTATTATCTTACAAAAAAAAAAAAAAAAAAAAAAAAATCAATAATAAAATTGTACACAAAATATTTAAATTTTGGCATTAAATAATCCATAGTGGTTGCTATACCATTGAATAAAAACAACCAAACACATTTTTATTGTAAACAGTGTGCATTATGTTTTGTGCATTCAATTTGATTAATCTGTTTCCTACATCTTAACATTTTGCAGGTTATTTAAAGCCAGAAAATATTTTTAGATTGCAAAAATTTGGAAGATAATAATGATTTAGTGATACAAGTCATACATAGCTGGGAGGAGAAGAGGTGGATTTATAGATTTCATTTGCGCACAAGTGAATATCACAACCCTGACAGGAATTGGAGCTCAGCTCACTGATTAACAATTCCAAGTCATTATCCATTAATTCACCCACACATCCATGTTGACAGAAACTGGAATTTCCAAGCTATCGGTCTGCACATTCGAAAAATCTTAGTAAATAAAATATGTCTTCCAGTAGCGATTTGCTTTGTAAGCAAAATTACTGTTTGACCCAGCGAATTTTACTGCTCAGTCATGAAGAATATCATAGTTATGCAAAGTTCTATTTTCCCGTTTTAAGGAAAACACATCCTCTTCACTTGAATTATTTTTCTTGAAAGCCTATATATACTGAGCTTCATAAGTGAGATACATAAACAAAGCAATTTCTAAAATTTCAAATTTGAGTGTCCACTATAATAATGTTTGAAGTAATAAATAAATATACAGATACATACATATGATAAATATAGATGATTTGGAAAGGTTTTTCTTTGACATGTTTCACCAATTGACAGGTATCATCAAAAAAATAAAAATATAGAGAATCTTACAAAACAAAATCTACATTAGCAAGAAAAAAAAAACAAAACATGATTAATGTTAAGCATCTGGACATCTGGTTTTTATTTGAACTATATTATTATAGAAATTAGATTTTAACTAATTTCTAATCAGTTGTTTTTTGTTTTTTTTATTTAGCTATTATTTTTTAAAAGTGTGCATATCCCATGTTGTTTCTGTATTAATTTAGTAAAAACAGAATGTAGAGTTAAATAGCTGTTATAGTGGAACACACCTATTCTATAGTTAATAGACTCTCCCACCTATAATAAGTAGGAGTAGTAAGAGTAACCAGTCGCTCAGTCAGTCAATGCCGGACAACCGTTAGTCGAACACTAAAGTATCAGCAACCACAACTAGATTTATTCTGCGTCATACCTATTATATGAAGTTTCTAACGTTTGGTACGTCGAACCTATTTTAGGACCGACTTAGTACAAATACAAGCCTCCACTGTGAAATCACTCCATAACAATAGCTTAGGTGTATGTTAACCAGACAGAACATAGACATCAGCATCAAAATTGTGTGTGTATATATATATATAAATAATTGTGTATTTAGACAACAATCCTTCTTTAATGCAAGCTTCATTAAATATGACAGACAAGGTGCTTTAAGTTTTTCGTATAATTTCTCATATGATCTTATAATTTTTTTTTCTTTTCAGTAGATAAATTATACAAAAATATCTACTGAAAAGAAAAAAATAAGGTCATATGAGAAA